TGTTGCAAACGGACAAGCGAGAAAAAAGATAAAAAATAAAAAAATTGCTCCCTCTTTTTCGCTGCCATGAAGCCCTCATGGTCTGCACAAAAGTTGTAGCAACTACGCTTGCGCTCTTTGCGGACGTGCTGCCACGACACACCCAAACAAAATTAAGGCAAAATATTTCGGCGGCCACGACAATGCCGAAAAGTGGTGGGATCTCAAAACTACACTGTAATTGGGTTGTAGTGTAGTGGTGGGATCAGTCCCTTACTCTGTGAAGTTACTTCGCGCCGGCGTCCGAACGTTTTTTCGAGAATGTTTCGGCATCAAGTAGGTGTGGGAATTATTTGGACTTCAGGAAATTAATGTAGTTGGACTGTGTGGTTGTATTCTGATAACAGGCAGGCAGGACCGGAGTGACTTCGTCGCGTACTCGTTCCGCGTGAATGTTCCTACTATTTGGGCCAAGTGCAGGTAGGAAGCCGTAGGATGCATTTAGATGAGAATCTGCTCCAGATAGTGGTCTGCAGGGAGTACCTGCAAGTTTTTCGCGCCCGCAGGGTGCTGGATTGCACTGCCTCAGTACGGTGATTCTCGGGATAGGCGAGCATGGCCGCCATTGAGTACAGGGTAAACAGTATTTATTAGGGTTAGCAGAGGAAAAAGTCCTCAATCTGAGAAATGGCATTCCCTGGAAGCCGTTTGCCTGCTTGGAAATCGCCAACCTTGCTCCACAAAATGATATATCTGGAAAGATCTACCCGTTCCAATGGCTCACAAACAACCACTGGACCATCCCCTTGCCCCAAAAACAAGCACACCCTGCATACCCAGCTGACCATAACGGCAGATCCGCTCTGGCCTTATGTAATCAGACTTTGGAGACGACAGGGTCCCCAGCAAAAACATCCCCCGAACAGGTGGCACGATATATGGAGGCAACCCCTCTTTGACAACCCACATATTTTACAAGAATCAGGCCAACCCTTCCTTCTGACAACGAATTCCCCTTGGCTCACTTGGGCCAAGAAGGGTGTTTTCACGGTCGGAGACCTGTGGGATGCAGTGAGAGGCGAGTGGGCAACCCCTGGCCAAGGGGATGGTGGAGTCTTGTAACTCTAGCATGGGATATCGCAAGGGCTTTT